AGTTAAACTCTTGAGCTATGTCCACTGTTTATGTATTTGCTATGAGAGCTTACAATAATATTCCTAGAACAATTTGTTAACCCCTTTTTCATCATTGGAAGGGGTATATATACAGATTTTGTACAAAGGAAAGAGCGAAAATGAAGGGATTACAATTAAGATTGAAATACAACTCTAATATTCTTGCGATTGAGCATTGAGACTGTGCCAAGATTGCTGCCAATCTGATCCTTTTTGAGATATCGAGATCTAAAGTTATCTGTTAGTTGGTTGAACAACTGTAGGAATTGGTTGCGATTGGCTTGTGCTAGGTCGAGTTACAACTCGATGAGCTTATGTTGGGTCAGACAATCGATTGAGTCGAACTGATTCTGGATTGAGCTATGACCTTGCAATCCTTCGAGCTTGATGGAAAAATCACACAACACATAGAAGCTAACAAATTAGCCAGGAAGCAAAAATAGTTCAAAATGCATGAAGGAAGAACTTCTGAGTGAAGGTGAAAAAATTAATTTAACTGCTAATAAGAAAAATATCATATGCTTGACAATGATCAAAAATATTTCTCATTATTTTATTTGGGCCTACGAAAATTAATTTAATTGATTTGCATGCTGTTTACTCAACTTGATCAACAAGACTAATGGTCCTTTAATTAGAAAATTAGTTTATACTTATTAACTAAGACATATCATCTCTTGGTATCTGATTTATCATCTTTTATATAATCATTCAAGACGTTCATTTTTAAGAATACTAGTCCTGCCAGTAAGGAATAAAGAAATAATCTTTGCCTTGTTAAAGAGTAAATCTTTTTATGATTAAGATGTAGATAATTGAAATATTTTTTTGCGTGAATTTAGATATTTAACTCTAGAAGCTTAAATAGAAGGCACAATATCCAACAAAAATAATTGATATAGAGAATCTTTATTGGTCCCTTATATGATGATAATGTTTTGTTTTCATTGAATCTTTGGATTTGGTTTAGGATAGTTTTTAAAAAAATAATGAAAAAATTATAAATCGTTGTATAACTTAAAGTGCTTAAAGAAATTGATGTACCATATGCTTCATACTCAAATTCATAATAAATTTATCAAAATTCGGATATGCAATGTATAATACTCTAATTTAACGACTTTAAGACTAAGCCCGATATGATAATTTACTAAATTATTGATAACATATCATTTCTATCAAACAAAATGAGGGGGGAAAAAAAAAGGAAGAGAGTTGAGAATCTAATTTATCCTCTGGGAAAAGAATATTCATGTTGTTCATTACTATAAGAAACATTGATCCTATTTTGTAAAAGGAATAAAGAATAATGTTTGTCTTATTATAGATCTTTTTATGATCAAGATATGGGGAACAATTTTTGTTTATCAATTAGAATAAAAACTTTCCTGATAATGGAAAAATACTTTTGTAATCAATGAATTGATATTCTCACAACCAGTAATATCGATGAATGTCTAGTGAAAATTATAACTACATATGTGATAATAATGATCACAATTAGAAGCTCAATAATACTTGTATAACCTTTTTATTGGTAGTATTGACAAGAAGCAAAAGTGGTGTCGTTTTTACTCTGTTTCTGTCCCCATATTTAGCTCACCAAAGGCACCAAAGAACTTCTATCTCTTCACATCATTCAGCATCAAAGTGTTGTCACCTTTACATTACTATTCTTGCTTCTTCTCAAATGTATAAAACGTGTGACTCTCTGTTAGTTAGTTAGTTAATGAAAGAAAGAAGAGAAGTTGTATTTGTCTTTCTCAATTCTCTCTAAGATTCTTGACTTCTCCTCCAAAGTCTTTCATGGTATCAGAGCCAAAGACTAGCGTCAATGGTGAATTCTTCATCCTCCAATACTTGGAACAACAATCTGAACAAAGTGATGCAGAACACTTCAGCCACTTACTCTTCAGCATTTCCGTCCAGTCTTCGAGTGGTTACTCCCAAGCTCACACGTGATAATTACTGTGATAATTATCGGTTTTGAAAGTCACAAATTCTTTCTGCAGTAGGTGCTCACGATCTTGATGATCACTTAACAGGTTGTATCCCCTATCCTAAACCTTTAATTTTGTCAAAACCTGAAATTCTTGTTGAAGAAAATGTAGTTAGGTCAACATTTGAACCAAAATTGAATGAATCTGGTACTATAGAATGCATTAATCCAACTTATCTAGCTTGGAAACGTACTGATAAATTCCTTGTTACACGGTTGTTGGCCTCCATTTCTGAATGTATGTTTAGTTTGGTATCTAAGTGTCAAACTTCCACTGATATTTGGTTCAGTCTTAAAAATGAATTTTTAAGTGACTCAAAGGCTAGAGCTCTGCACCTTAAACAGTTGTTACAGAACACACATAAAAGGAACTTGTCTATCTGTGATTACTTTAAGAAGATGAAAGGTATTGCAGAAAGCCTAAACTCTAGTGGTCAAAATGTCTCTGATGAAGATTTGCTTCAGCATATTCTTAATGGTTTAGGTCCAGAATTTGACGTTGTTGTAGTAAATTTGACATCTATAGTAGAATCCAAGTTTGATTTTGTTACAATCCAAGAGGCATAATATCTACTGCAAAATATGAAATGCGAATTAAGAAATTTAATTCTGTTGATTTTTCAAAAAGTTCAATTCATCTTGCTGCAATCAGTAACCCTAATAGTTCACCAACTCTGCATAATGGGTCAAATATTGCATCCCATGCTGGTAGTGCTTCTCAACCTATACCGACACCAGTTGTAAATCTAATGCCAACTACTCAAATGCATCAGAACTATGTCCCACCCTATCCACCTCTTGCCTCCTTTTTACCTTCCACTACTTTTGTTTCACATGGACAGACGTATCAAGTATGTGGAAAAATAGGACACACAGCTATTTAATGTTATCACCAGTATAATTCCACTTACAATGGAGTTTCTCCACAGTCTGGATCTTCTGGTGGTATTGTCTTCAACAATGGACAGTCAAATTATTTTCTTGACAACAACTCTTTTGGACATGGGAGAAGACTTGATTCTACTTATTCTAGCCATCAACATTTGTCCTCTGATCACTTCTACTCTGGTAATCAAGCACAACCAGGACCAACGTTTATGAATTCCTCAAATTGATTTTCTACTTCACAAGATTTCTCTAGAGGGCAGCAACCTGTTGCTTCAGTTCCAAACACTGATAATTTAGCTTTCAAAGTTCTTAGTCAGCAACCTACTTCATCCAGTCAGGTTTATTTTGCTGCACCTCAACTACCAAATATTGCCCCTTCCATTGCCAACTATACTACACCACAGGATCCAGCAGGGTATATGGACTGTGGAGCCACTGACCATGTCACTTCGGATGTAAATCATATGCGCAGCAGCAGGACTTATGAAGGAGCTGAGCAATTGCAAGTTGGCAATGGTGAGTTCTTGAACATTTCACACATAGGATTTACCTCTTTACCTAGTTCTTTGTAGTCCAAGTCTCTTTATCTTAAGAATGTATTATGTGTTCCAAATATAACCAAAAATCTACTTAGTATTTCAAAGTTTACCAAAGACAATAATGTTGTGGTAGAATTTCACTCTGATTGTTGTGTGGTTAAGGACAAGGTTACCAGCACAGTTATTCTACAGGGAGAGCTTAAGGGAGGACTATATCAACTGAAACTTGATTCTATTAGTCTACCCCATTCCACTGCTCAATCAATTTTGGCTAGAATTCAATCTTTTGTGTCTTCCTTACATTCCACACAAAGTCAAGGCTGTCCTGACTCTTCTATAAATAACCAAGTCTCATTATCTATTACTAATAAATTGCAGCACTCTAAAACATCCTAAGACTTTCAATTTTAATTGTAATGCATATTGTAATAAACCTGAAAATTCTGCATCGATTAAATCTAATTGTAATTCATCTTTACATATTGATTGCTTGAAGTCTGATTGTATCACCCCTTTATCACAATGTACTGATTTTGCTATTTACAATAAAAGTACTGCTTGTAATAAAAATCCTAACGTAACTGCACCTTTTTCTCTAAATATTTGTGATAATTTGTCTTTGAAACATGATGCACCTTCTACTACTGGTATCACTTCATCTGCATCAGCATTAACACAACCTGATTTCATTCCTGCATCTACATCTGCACCAGCATTACCACCTGGTTTAAATTCTGCATCTGCATCTATAACACCTATCTCTTCCACTTCACAACCTAGACTTACATCTGCATTTGCCCTTACATCTGCACCAACATCAACACAACCTGATTTAATTCCTGCATCTACATCTACACCAGCATTACCACCTGGTTTAAATTCTGCATCTGCATGTACAACACCTATCTCTTCCATCTCACAGCTTGAACTTACACCTGCCTTTGCATCTATATTAGTATCTAACTTAAAACATTTTCATGCATCTGCCCTTGCCATGAACCTTCCAAACACTACAACAATATACACATATAGCTACGAAAAGAAAAACTGTAGCAAATACATATTTACAGCTAGAAAAGTCAATATTTGTAGCTAATTGAAATAATTTTAGTGATAAGAATTTCTCCCTCGAAGCTAATATTCATCTATTGCTTTAACTTATTAAAATTGTGGCAATAGCTATTCGTTTAGCTACAATGTATTAGCTATGGTAAAACATTGTAGCTAATTAATGTATTTAGCTATAAATATTTCATTTACATGGCATATAGTATCATTATTTGCTATGAGTTTTAACTATATAGCTATTATTTGTGCATTAGCTATAAAATATTGAGATTTGTAGCTAATTAATGTATTTAGCTATAAACATTTTATGTACGTGNAAACACGTTAAATTCATAAGAAAAATATTAGGAAGCGATTTTCATGAATAAATTCATAAATTCTTTAATTGTCTCAATATACTTCAATTTAATCACAAATGGGGTATTTTTATCACCAAAATAGAGTCACTTTCATGACTCTAACAAATATTATCTCTATTAATATAGTTAATTTTCAAGAAGATCACAATCAATTCTCAGAAAATACAACTTATCCCCCACAACATCAAAAGCTGCGTTATGAAATTGTTGAGCTTGAAGTCCTATCACATTCAAGTTGTGGAAGCCTTCATTATGTTTTTCACTTAGACCAAAAGCCAAGCAAAACATTGAAATATTTCTCTGTATATATATACTCCACTCACCCAAAACTAAATTAGCCCCATTAGCAAAATGTAATGTGACCACTGGAAATCCTTGAAGATCCATAGTAGCACAATTGCCATTTCTGTACTGTTCGAGACTTTGTGACTGAGAACCCTTCGAGGTGATGCTCGATTTCTTCCTGAAGAATTTGATATGCCTTTGTGACTAACCAAGTCTCTGTAGTACTAGAGTCGATTGTTACTTGACTTTCATCACTATCATTCTTGAATGTATTACGGTCTATATCAAGCATTTTGTCATCAACACTAATCCCTTTAAGAGTAACATAATATATACAACCCTTTATTGAAATTGAGAGGGGTTGAATCGCCTTCAAGTACAATATCGTCGCCTAATATTAATTTGTTATGGCTATATTCTAGATTAGATATATTGCCAATGCAATACGAAAATCTAAAGCCAAATTTATTAGAAATATATATGGTAGGTGTTTGACTAGCAAGTCCAAACCGTCCTACTGGTCGTCCATGGTCACCATGAATTTTGTGGCTTGTACTACAACCAAAGATTAAATCTTTCACTATGGTTATGCCCTCGTCTGATGTCTCAAATGTGAATTGCTCAGTGTCAAATGTTCCATTTGAGTTGGTATCATCTACATATGAAATTCGGTACATGCACTTATTTTTATAGTGCAAATGTTGCAGACATCGTAACGACAAGGATAATCGGCGTATGTGGAAGAATGGGAAGGATCATAAGATTGTAGGACTCAAGACTGATCGAATTAGAGTAAATTAGATTCCTAAGTTTCTAATTCAGCAAGAACACAAACAATCATATATGAGTAATCAAAAGAGCATAAAAGAAAACTGATAAAGTAACACACAGAGTTATAGTGGTTCAGTAATCAATTGATTACCTACATCCACTCTTCAAGGCAGTAGAGATTATTACCAATGCAATAGGAAACTTTTAAACCAAATCTATGAAGAAAAGACAAGGCTCGTTTTCGACTACCAAGTCCAAAAATTCCATTGAGTACTTAAGTATCTTCCACTCCATATATAACATGTTGATCACCAACACCTCCGACGACTCCATCCATAATCAGACACTTCATAATGAATTTCTTATTCACCGTCTCTATTGTTATGGTTGCATCAAAAAACCACATCACTTATAGTAATATTGGCCTCATCTATATTCTCAAATGTGAATTGCTCAATGGCAAGTTGTCCATTGGACTGTCCTTGCATGTTGATTCTATAAATGCATCAATTACTATAGTCGCAAAAGCTGTAGACAACTTGGCCACATGGAACTTCAGAATATTTGGAAGAGATGTAGGGGTTGTAATTTGGTTTATAATATATTCCGCGTATATTTGTCATATAAGGCTCGTAAGTAACCCATGTAGATGTGGAACGGGAGGCTCACCAATAGTGAAATTTACAAAAAATCCTTTCTAGAAAAAGTTGTAAATTAGCTCGAGCTTCTTGAGTTTCAGAAGGATTTAAAATGTGTTTCGAACAATCTTGATTGGTGTGATTAGTGTTGTGTGACATGAAATCTTGGTGGAGAAGTTCGAACACCAATTGTTTAGGTTTCATGGTGGTGGTGTTGTTAATAATTGCGATTAAAGTGAAATGAGTACTTGAGAGAGTAATGAGTAAACAAATGATTATGGTAAGTGGAATTGCCATATCAATGAATTCTTGGTATGATATTTGCTTCTTAGGATCGTATAAGAAGATCACTTTATGAAGATTTCAGCTCAATTTATAGAGATTAGTTCTATTAGTTAAAGAAAGTTAGTTCTTAATTGGTTAGTTCATGCCTTGGTCAATTTAAACAAAATTAGTTATTAAACTCTTAGTTCATGGTTAGTATAAAGAAATTATATGTTAGTTGTTAATTAGTTCATGCTCAGTATAAAGAAATTATATGTTAGTATTGGCAGTATTGACAAGAAGCAAAAGTTGTGCCGTTTTTACTAGTTTTTTGTCATCGTTGTTAGCTCACCAAAGGCACCAAAGAACTGTTGTCTCTTCACATCATTCAGCATCAAAGTGCCGTCACCTTTACATTACTATTCATGCTTCTTCTCAAATATATAAAACATGTGACTCTCTATTCGTTAGTTAGTTAATGAAAGAAAGAAGAAAAATTTTATTTGTCTTTCTCAATTCTCTCTAAGATTCTTGACTTCTCCTCCAAAGTCTTTCATGGTATCAGGGTAACGTCAATGGCGAATTCTTCATTCTCCAATACTTCGAACAACAATCTGAACAAAGTGATGCAGAACACTTCAGTCACTTACTCTTCAACATTTCCATCCAGTCTTCAAGTGGTTACTCTCAAGCTCACACGCGATAATTACCGCGATAATTATCAGTTTTGGAAGTCACAAATTCTTTCTGCAATAGGTGTTCACGATCTTGATGGTCACTTAATAGGTTATATCCCCTGTCCTGAACCTTTAATTTCGTTAGAATATGAAATTCTAGTTGAAGAAAATGTAGTTAGGTCAACATCTGAACCAAAATTGAATGAATCTGGTACTACAGAATGCATTAATCCAACTTATCTAGCTTGGAAATGTACTGATAAATTCCTTGTTACATGGTTGTTGGCCTCTATTTCTGAATGTATGTTTAGTTCGGTATCTAAGTGTCAAACTTCCACTGATATTTGGTTTGCACTTGAAAATGAATTTTTAAGTGACTCAAAGGCTAGAGCTCTACACCTTAAACATTTATTACAAAACACTCATGAAGGGAACTTGTCTATCTGTGATAACTTTAAGAAGATGAAAGGTATTGCAGAAAGCCTAAACTCTAGTGGTCAAAATGTCTCTGATGAAGATTTGCTTCAGCATATTCTTGATGGTTTAGGACCAAAATTTGACACTGTTGTTGTAAATTTGACATCTAGAGTAGAATCCAAGTTTGAGTCTGTTACAATCCAAGAGGCACAATATCTACTGCAAAAATATGAAATGCGAATTGAGAAATTTAATTCTGTTGATTTCTCAAATAGTTCAGTTCATCTTGCTGCAATGAGTAACTCTAATAGTTCACCAACTCTGCACAATGGGTCAAATATTGTATCCCATGCTGGTAGTGCTTCTCAACCTATACTGGCACCAGCTATAAATCTCATGCCAACTACTCAAGTGCATCAGAACTATGTCCCACTTTATCCACCTCCTGCCTCCTTTTTACCTTCCACTGGTTTTGTTTCACATGGACAGACGTATCAGCCTTCCCATGCTAGACAGCTTGAATCACAATTCAATAATTATAGACCACTAGTGTTTAATAGCTACATCAGAGGTCGTGGCAGAGGGAATGCTAAAGGGAGACCTATTTGTCAAGTAAGTGGGAAAATAGGACACACAGCTATTCAGTGTTATCACTGATATAATTCCACTTACAATGGAGTTTCTCCACAGTCTGGATCTTCTGGTAGTGTTGTCTTCAACAATGGACAGTCAGATTCTTTTCCTGACAACAACTCTTTTGGACATGGGAGAAGACTTGATTCTACTTTTCCTCGCAATTCACAGATACAAAATTTGTCCTCTAATCGCTTCTATTCTGGTAATCAATCACAACCAGGACTAACGTTTGTGAATTCCTCTAATCGATTTTCTTCTTCACAAGATTTCTCTAAAGGACAGAAACCTGTTGCTCCAGTCCCTAACACTAATAATTCAACTTTCAAGGTTCCTAGTCAGCAACCTACTTCATCCAGTCAAGTTTATTTTGTTGCACCTCATCTGCCAAATATTGCCTCTTTCACTGCCAACTATACTACACCGTAGGATCTAGAATGGTATATGGACTCTAGAGCCACTGACCATGTCAGTTCGGATGTAAATCACATGCACAGCAACAGGATTTATGAAGGAGCTGAGCAATTGCAAGTAGGAAATGGTGAGTTCTTGAACATTTCACACATAGGATTTACCTCTTTACCTAGTTCTTTGCAGTCCAAGGCTCTTTATCTTAAGAATGTATTATGTGTTCCAAATATAACCAAAAATCTACTTAGTATTTCAAAGTTTACCAAAGACAATAATGTTATGGTAGAATTTCACTCTGATTGTTGTGTGGTTAAGGACAAGGTTACCAACACAATTTTTCTGCAGGGAGAGCTTAAGGTGGGACTTTATCAACTGAACCTTGCTTCTGTCAGTCTACCCTATTCTACTGCTCAATCTGTTTTGACTGACGTTCAATCTTATGTGTCTTCCTTACATTCCACACAAAGTAAAGGTTGTCCTGACTCTTCTATAAATAACCAAGTCTCATTAGCTACTACTAATAAATTGCAGAACTCTAAACATCCTAAGCCTTTCAATTTTAACTGTAATGCATATTGTAATAAACCTGAATATTCTGCACCTTTCAAACCTGATTGTAATTCATCTTTGCATGCTGCCTGTTTGAAGTCTGATTGTATCATCCCTTTATCATAATGTACTGATTTTCCTACTTGCAATAAAAGTGCTGCTTGTAATAAAAATCCTAATGTAACTGCACCTTGTTCTCTAAATAATTTTGATAATTTGTCCTTGACACATGATGCACCTACTACTATTGATATCACTTCATCTGCATTTGCCCTTACATCTGCACCAACATTAACACAACCTGGTTTAATTCCTACATCTACATCTGCACCAACATTACCACCTGGTTTAAATTCTGCATCTACATCTACAACACCCATCTCTTCCACCTCACAGCCTGAACTTACACTTGCCTATGCATCTACATTAGTATCTAACTTAAAACCTTCTCATGCATCTGCACTTGCCATGAACCTTCAAAATCATACACATGTTAGCAAAAATTTGTTTTGGCATCAAAGGTTAGGTCATCCAAACTTTAAAGTGTTTACTAAAATCATCACTCACCTTAACAATGATCATTCAGCAAAGGCAAAAACTCCATCCTCTTTATCCTTTTGTGATGTCTGTCAGTTAGGAAAATTGCACAAAAATAGTTTCCCTTATTCTTCTTCTAGAGCCATTGAACCTTTAGCTCTAACCCATAGTGATCTTTGGGGTCCTGCTCCAATTCTTTCTGTTGAAGGATATAGATATTACATTCAATTTGTCAACGATTTTAGTCGATTTACATGGCTTTTTCCCTTAAGAACAAAGGTTGAAACTCAATCTATTTTCATCAAATTTCATCATTTAGTTGAAAGGCAGTTTGGTTACAAGCTTAAATGCTTGCAATCCGACCAAGGTGGTGAGTATAAGAGTCTTATTCCATATCTTGAACAAAATGGCATCATGTTTAGACATCCATGTGCACATGTGCATCAACAAAATGGGAGAAGTGAACATAAACATAGAAATGTTATTGAGACAGGTTTGAAACTCCTTGCTCATGCATCCATGCCATTGCAATTTTGGTGGTATGCTTTTAAGACTGCAACTTTCTTAAATAACAGAATGCCCTCCTCAGTTCTGAATTTCATATCTCCTTATCAAACTTTGTTTCATTAATTACCTTTGTACTCCTCTCTAAAGGTTTTTGGTTGTGCTTTCTTCCCTCACATTAGAGATTTTAATCAACACAAGTTTAGTTTTCATACAACCAAATGTGTCTTCCTTGGTTACAGCCTTGTGCATAAAGGTTTCGAGTGTCTAAGCTCC